TCACTGTATATTTTTCTAGTATGTTCTCATTGAGGCTCTTCTCTTCTTTCTCGCTGACTGTCTTCTATCCTTGTATCTTCCTTTTTTTGTCCTTCGAACATGTTGAAAATTTCTGCAATATTGGTTTATTTACTTTATATTGTATTTTCATGATTATGTTGTTTCTAGTACTGTGTTGGTTGTACCTTTTTTGTCTTGTGATGATTTTTTAAATTCCTGTATCTCTTCTGCCTTCTTGTCTCTGGGATATTCTTCATTGGGTCCATGATCTTTTCTGCGTTGTCAGAAGTTTTCATTGACACTAGAGGTTGTTCTTGGTATATGTGAGGCATGGTATATGCAAATAGCTGCCCTGTTCCAGAGCTGGATGGGAGGGGCAACCTCCATATGGAGCTGGACAAAGTCCCTGGGAGTACACCTTTTGGGAGCTATCCTTCTCAAGGTGAGTATGCAAGTATCTGTCCTAATCTGGAGCTTGATGGAAGAGAGCAGCTTCTTCTTGGAGCCAAGAAAAGTACATGGAGTGTGGCCCTCTGAAGCTCTCCTCTCCACGTCACAGTGCATTGTGCCAAAGCTACACAACTTTTTGACTAATCCTGCTACAAACTTCACTCTTGATCCTGGACTCTTTGATCAGGATCACCTGACCTTCAATTCATCATCCTTTGAAACTTGCAGTATGTGACACTTTTGTCACTTCATTGCTAACAATGCTGGGTTTGACAAAGCGAGTGAGCACAAATGTGAGTCTCTTCCAGTCATTTAGTCTTGTAGCTTTTTCGTATCTCTTAGCATAGATTGATGACCACACTCATGGGCGCATTTATCTGCTGAAAAATCTCAATTGTATTATCTCAATTCTTGGGACCTTATTTTTTTGCCAATGCTTTTCATGAAGCTTGCATTACTTTTTTCCTTTAAAACCATCTGTCCTTAATTATATGATACATGTTGTAATGGTTCACTATCCACCAAGTACAGTGACTCTGTGTACTTCTTTCATGTTCTTTTGACACTTCCTGTACCATTCCCGTAAAATCCTTTGCTATTGCAATTCAGGGAAAGCATTTTTTTCTTCAGTTTTTCCAGCTGAAAAAAAGAATTATGACCATGTTCTATTCTTTTTGTTTTGCTAACTTCAGGTCTTTACACATTTTGTTATAATAATTTGATATGTCTTCTCAAGTTGTTAAAATTTTTCTGTTCACCTTTCTTCCTCATCTCTCCCCTTTGTTTTGGCTTCTCTATATTGAAGGCCAGGGTGCTTTGGTGGTCTAGTGGCAAGAAGTTGCACTGCAACCCTTAAGGCATGCAACCAAGGCAGTTCAACACCACTAGCTTCTCTGTGGGAGAAGGATGGGCAATCTCCTTCCATACAATTAAATTGCCTCTAAAAACCAGCCAGCAGCACAACAAGATAAAGGTAAATAATCCAATTGAAAAATGGATGTGAACAGACACTTCACCAAAGAAGACATTCAGAGGGCTAACAAGCACATGAAGATATGCTCAAAATCCCTAGCTCCAAGAGAGATACAAATCAAAACAACTGTGAGCTATCATCTCACCCCAGTCAGAATAGCAAAATTTAACAGAACAGCAAGCAACAAATGCTGGTGAGGTTGTGGAGAAACTGGAACCCTTATTCACTGTTGGTGGGAGTGTAAAATGGTGCAACCACTGTAGCAGGCAGGATGGTGCTTTCTCAAAAAGTTGCAAATAGAGATACCATTTGACCCAGCAATTCCACTACTGGGAATATACCCCAAAGAAACCATAACTGCCATGCAAGCAGATATATGCATATCCATGTTTATCGCAGCTTTGTTCACAATAGCAAGGAGTTGGAAACAACCTAAGTGCCCATCAGCAAATGAATGGATAGAGAAGCTGTGGTATAGACACACAATGGAATACTACGCTGCATTTAAAAACAAGGAACTCAAGCAATATTATTCAAAATGGGTGACCCTGGAAGACATTATGCTGAGTGAAATATCTCAGTCACAAAAGGACAAATACTGCATGGTGCCACTATTGTAAAACAGGACTGACATTGTGATTGTGGGGAGAATGAGAAAGATGGGTTAAATAATGTATACTGTATTGAAGCAGATGAGGGAGAAAACTGTTTAATAGGGATATGTGATTAGGTATTTTTGTCATGATGGGAGTCCAGAACAAAGGCTTCATAGTGGAGTGGACCTGGAGGGAGGGGTTGTAAAACAATGAAAGAATTTTTCTTCTACTTTTCCGAGAGGGGAATGTATTGAGGGGGAGGGTTGAGAGGAGAGAAAAGTGCAACAATGAATGAATGGAAATCCAAAGTCTCTGTAAATTTTCATTGAAATTAATAATTTAAAAAATGACCCACCACAACAAACCAGCCAGAGGGTCAGCTATGGGTCTGTTCCACCTCTGCTGTACATAACAACAACAACACTACTACTACTACTAAATAGAAGACCAAGTTTCAGAGTCTCTTCTCACATCTATTTTGGTCTTATCTTTTATTTTTAAATTTCAATAAATTTTTTCTTTTATACTAATTTACTTGCAAAGTTCATATATTGTTTTTAACAACAGATCTTTCCCATTTCCTTTATGTAGCCCCCCTTCTTGGTGTTTTTGATGCCATCCCACAGTATATGTGATGTCTTGTCATAAATATTTAATTCATCAGCTCATCTTTTAGACTAAAAATGTACATTATTTTGGGAACTCTTTCTTACCTTTTCTCAGATTAAAACTGTTTAACAAATGCAATATTATAATTATGCTAAACAGTCCAAATACTGTGTAACCAATTCATATTTTTGTTGAAAAAGTAGACTTTGTAAAGACATTTAAAGGTACTCTGCATTATTATGGTAATGACAAATTTAAAGATCTGAGAAGACCATAGTGCTGCTTACTCATAGATCTTAATCATAGTTGCTTAATTTCATTTTTTGCTTCCTTGGGTAAGTCTTCTAGAATTTCAAAGCATTAGTTGTTTTTTTCTTCCTGAGCTTGTCAATATTCTTCCAGACAGAGTTGGATTATATTTTCGAAAAAGGATAAGTTAATTTCTGAAGCTATCAGTCCAGACAATCTTTTTAACAAGTACCTAGGAACCTCATTTTTTTTATTGTGCTGAAAATATATATAGCTAAACACATGCATATTCAACATTTTTTATTTATAAAATTCGATGACATTGTATGCTTCAAAGTATGCAACCATTCTCACCATTCTGTACCAAACATTCCAATATAATTTTCATAAACTCAGTACTCCTTAACCAAAAACATCAACTTTTTTTTCTCCCCTCATCCCACTCTTATTGTTCTTGTTGCTGCTGCTGGTAGTTGTTGCCAAGAAGAAGGCTACAGCCTTATACACACACACACACACACACACACACACACACACACACATAATCTCAACCTTATGTACAGCAGAAAGGAACTCTACCTGATCCTGTGCCATTGTCACAGTCTCTGATGTGCTTAAATCCATTGTTGCAATCACCGTGTCAATTCAGCTCATTAAAGGTCTTACTCTTTTTTATCAACTCTCTCCATTTCTAAGCACGAAGTTATGAGTTTACTCCTTCTGATAACATACTCAAGGTATATGAGGAACAATCTTATCATTCTTGCTTCTAAGGAGCACTCTGGTTGTTCTTCCTTCAAGAAAGATTTGTTTGCTTTGTTGATAATCCATGTTATATTCAATATTTTTTGCCACAATCATAGCTCAAAGGCATTAATCTGCTGCTGGTGATCATTAATAACTTTTGGTTTCCATATATTTGGCTAAGGAACCTTGGTGGCATATTAGGTAACATACTGAGCTATTAACCAAAAGATCAGGCCTTTGAATCCACCAACCATAGAAGAAACATGAGCAATCTTCTCCTATAGAGATTTGCAGCCTCAGAAAACAGATCACTTTGGATTGAAATCTACTATACAATAGGAATTTTAATTTGGCTTATATATTTTACTATTTCTTATAAGGAAGATCACATAGTGTTTGTCTTTTTATGACTGACTTATTTCATGTGATATCTTTTTTCAATGTTTATCCATCTTGTGACATGCACCAGGACGTCATTTCTGTTTATGGGTAAACAGTATTTCATTGTATGTATATAATGCATTTTGTTTATCTATTCATCTGCTGTTGAGTATTTCAATTCTTTTCACTAGCTAACTTCTATGCAACATTGATGACAAATGTATACTTTATAATTATACTTGGATTATGGAAATTCATTGTAACAGATATATATTAAGTGCTATCTATGTTACCTATTTGCATTCATTATCTAAAAGAACATTTCAAGATCTATCTTGAAGTAAAATGCTGTCAACGATAATATTCATATGCATATAAAGAGGCCCTGTTAATGCAACTACTATTCAAATATATGAACCAACTGATAATGTTAAAGAGGAGGAAATTAAGTATTTCTACTGATGTATGAAATTGATCAAACATGCAATCAAGATGCATTAATAATAATTGGTGATTGTAATTAGAATGCTAAAGTCAGAAATACAGAAGAATTGGTAGTTGGAAAATACGGCTTTAGCAATGGAAATGAGTTTAGTCTCTAAATGCTACTGTTGTTTTTTCCTAGTTATATTGGTTATACACATTAACCACATTTCTTAAAATAAAATTTATGACCTATAATAGTTCTTTAGTACCAAATTTATTTTACCAGTTGCAAAAATAGTTAGAAGTCCCAAACTGGGATCCATAAGCCCAACTGTATAAAATATTGGAAAAGTGATGATTTTTAAAAATTTAATAAGCAACATTATAGAAATAACAATGAAGAGATCCAAATTATCAATACCACCACATCAGATCCACAGTTTCATTTTTATATTTTCTTTAGGTTTTGTCATTATACATTTTATATAATTGCTGTCAGGTCACATATTAGCCAGCTGACTAAGGATTTCACAGGAGGAAATGAGACAACCACAATGCATTATGCTCACCTTCTGTAAAACTTTCCATACTTTCTGATAAAATCCAACAGGCACCCTGTTCAGTGCCCCATCCAATCTTCTTCGACGTTGCCACTGACCTTGCCGATTATCTATATAAGTCTGTTGACCATATGTGCTAGTAAAGGATACACCACTTGGAGTCATAGAAGTTCCAGGTGACTTGGAAGAAGAATAAGAAGAAGGAAAAGAACATAAATCAAAAGTTATCTCTGTTCCCCTAACAAAGTTACATCACTAAACACACTTAGATTTACTTCTTTATAATTACAAATCCTATATATGAAACATGCAAGATAAAGAGGTTACAGTTAAGCTAGTAAATGTACATATTATGAAAAATGCAGCATTGTAAGCATGTTTCTTTTAGAAAAAAATGTAGCAATATATAACAAGAGTTATAAGAATAGTCATTACATGGGAGATTGGCATGGAAATTCCATTATGAATTTATACTTTGGAAATAATTCAAAGGAAGAAAAATATGTCAATCTTAAAGATGTTCATTAAATTATTATAACAGAAGACTTAGAAGCAATCTAAAAATCCAAAGGTAAGGAAATGAATGTAGAAAAAAATTATTATAAACCAACTCAATAAAATAGTATATTTCATAATCTCAAAGGCTTATTGTTGTTATTAAGCGCTATCCAGTTGGCTAATAGTCATTGCAACTCTATGACAAACAGACCAAAATCTTGCCCTATCTTGTGTCCCCTTCGTCCTTTCCTAGCATGACTCCTTTTTTTCCAAGGACTGGCACCTCCTGACAACATGACCAAAGTATGTGAGCCAAATTTTCAACATTCTTGCCTCTAAGGAACATCCTGGTTGGACTACCTCCAAGATAAATTATCCTGGTTTTTTTTTTTCAGTATGTGAGATATTTAACACTTTTTGCCAGCATCACAATTAAAAAATTTTAGTTCTTCTTTGATCTTCTTTATTCATTGTCCGATTTCCACGTGCAATATTAAACTATTGGAAAGAATATATCTTGTGTTAAGCACACCTTGTTGTTGTTAAGTGCTGTCAAGTCATAGGCAACTCACAGCTACCCTATGAATGGAAATCCTGGACACCAGTATAATTTGCGTCTTTTCTCCGGGTTCATAGGGTTTCCAGAGGCAAGCTATTATGGAAGTGGATGCCACTCCTGCTTTTAAAATTACTACAATTCACAATTACTTTAATAAAAGTTTCCAGAAAGATTACGTTTTCATTTATTTACTCATACATATTTTGCTTCTTTCTCCTCCCCTAATTCACTTTGTAATACATGTCATGTTCAGATTGTTAATGTCTAATCAGCATGTAATATCTAGTCATCCATTCCTTTCAGACAGTTCTTCCCTTCACCTATTCCAGTATAGTGATGATTTAGGAAATCATCTATCTATTACATCAATGTTCTTTAGCATTTAGAGGTTCTTGATGTGAGACTTTGCCAATGCAACATTTAATTTTATTTCTTGATGGCTTCCACCATGTTCATTGTGGATTCAAGTGAAATCAAAACCTTTACAACTTCAATATTTTCTCCATCTATCATAATTGGTCCAGTGTGGGGATTTTTGTATCCTTGATATTGAGGTATAATTCATATTTAAGGGTGTAGACTTTGATCTTCTTCAGTAGGTGTTTCAAGTCCTCTTTATGTTCTGAAAGCAAGGTTGTAACATCTGTGTAAAGTAGGTTGTAGATGGGTCTTCCTTGAACACTGAATTTTTTTTTACATCTTTTTACACATAATCTAGCTTCTCTGATTATTCCCACAGCATACAGGTTGAATAGATGTGGAGAAAGGATACAACACTGAGCACACCTTTCCTGATTTTAAACCATGAAGTGTTCACTTGGCTCTGTTCAAATGACAGCTGCTTGGCCTATGCACAGCTTCCACATGAGCACAATTAAATTTTCTGGAATTATCCAACTTTTCAATGTTATCTATAATTTATTATGATTCACACAGTTAGATAGATGCCTTGACATATTCATTAAAACCCAAGTAAATATCTTTCTTACATACTCCGCTTTCAACCAGGATTCATCTAACATAAAAAATTATATATCACTTTAAATGGTATATTTACACAACAGAATACTATGCAGCACTAAAGAACAATGTTGTTGTTATGTGCCATCGAGTCACTTGCAACTCATAGCGACCCTATGTACAACAGCCCTAAACTCCTTTCTGTCCTGTGCCAATCATACTATCTCCAACACACCCATCCCAATTACTCCAGTCACTGAATCAATCCATCTCATAGAGGGCCTTCCTCTCCTGTGCTGTCCCTCCACCCTCTCAAGCATGATGTCCCGCTCAAAGGACCTCCTTACAACATGTCCAAAGTATGTTATATGAAGCCTCAGAATCCTTGCCTCCAAGGAGCCGCCTGGTTTAACCCTTTCTAGGATGAATCTGTTTGTTTTCTTAGCAGTCCATAGTATTCTCAGTACTCTTCTCCAGCACCACAGCTCAAAGGCATCAATTCTCCTTCTATCCTCCCTAGTCATTCTCCAACTCTCTGATGCATAACAAGTAATTGCAAAGACCATGGCCTGTATCAGACGCACCTTAGTCTCCAGAGTGACACCATTGCTCTTCAGAACTTTGGAAAAGTCCTTAACAGCAGACTTTCCCATCGCAATACTTCTTTTAATTTCCTGGCTACTGCTGCCAAGAGTGTTGACTGTGGAGCCAAGCAAACTAAAGCTGTGAACAATCTCAATCTCTTCACCATCCATCCTGATGCTGCCAATTGGTCCAGTGGTGAGAATCTTTGTCTTCTTGACATTGAGCCTCAATCCATATTGAAGGCTGCAGTCCTTGACCCTCTGCAGCAAGCGCTTCAGGTCCTCCTATGTTTCAGCAAGCAGGCTTGTGTCATCTGCATAACGCAGATTGTTGATTGATCTTCCTCCAATCCTGACCCCACATTTCTCCTCATAGAGCCCAGCCTCCCAGGTTATCTGTTCTGCATACAGGTTGAAAAGGTATGGATACAGGACACATCCCTGGCGTATGCCCTTCCCAATTTTGAACCATGCAGTGTCTCCTTGCTCTGTTCTGACGACTGTCTCCTGGTCCAAGTATAGGTTTCTCTTTAGCACTATCAAGTGTTCTGGGATTCCCGTTCTTCTCAGAGTCAGCCACAGTTTGTTAAGATCCACGCAATCAAACGCCTTTGTATAGTCAATGAAACACAGATATACATTACTCTGGTATAGTATTCATAAAATATGACACAACTTGAGAGAGTCTAGAAAGCATTCTTTTGAGTGAAATAAGTCAGTCAGAAGAAGACAAATACTTCATAAGACTGCTATTGTAAATTATAGAAGGATAACTGAGGAAAATATGTATAAATGACCAAAAGAAGAGAGGGAGGAGGGTGAAGAAAAAGGGAGGAGGAAATTCACTAAAATTTCAGAGGTTAGTAGGTGGATGGGGAGGTGACAAAATAGAAAAGTCGTAATGGAGATAAGAATAGATGGGGTGATAAAATACATAGATCCAAGACACTAAAGAGCTGAACAGAAGATTCCAAAAGGCAGCACGGAATGACAAAACAAAATACGACAATGAAATGTGCGAGGAGCTAGAGTCAGAAAATCAAAAGGGCCGAACTCGTTCAGCATTTCTTTCTTTTTTTTTTTGTTCAGCATTTCTTAAGCTCAAGGAACTGAAGAACAAATCAAACCTCGAGTTGCTACAATCAAGGATGCTTTAGGCAGAATGTTAAATGATCCAGGAGATATCAAGAGAAGATGGAAGGGATATACTGAGTGAGTCATTGTACCAAAAGGAATTGGCAGATACAGAAGAATTTAATGAAATAGCATTTGAGCCAGAGCCTATGGTGATGGAGGCAGAAGTTCATGCTGCTATGAAGGAAATAGTAAAAAATAAGGCCCCAGCAATAGATGGTATACCAATTGACATATTTCAGCTAACAGATGCTGCCATGGACGTGCTCTCCTAGTTGTGCCAAGAAATCTGGAGAACAATCACTTGGCCAACTGACTGGAAGAGGTCTATATTTGTTCCCATCTCAAAGAAGGGCTGTGGAAACTACAGAACAATATCATTGATTTCACATGCAAGCAAGATTCTACTGAAGATTATCTAAAAACGACTGGAACAGTACACCAGCAGAGAACAGCCAGAAGTCCAGGCTGGGTTTAGAAGGGGTCGTGGTACTAGGGATATTGTAGCTGATGTTAGATGGATCTTAGCTGAAAGCAGAGAATACCA